CATTCCACTCGCAGGCCTCGCAGTCACCTTCTGTTATCCTTCATTAATTCTGTCATTTGAATTTCATAACAGTCTTGTATTTAGAGATTTGTAGTGTACTTTAGTAGAGCATATGACTCCGTATTACCAGTTTTGGGGATGTAAAACTATTGATCAGTTCAGCTTATTATGCCATTTACAAGTTTAATTTCATAGCTCGTTTATTTTGCTAAATCTCATCTTGTGTTTGGCTTACCTAGTCTTAGAGAGTAGGTGCCATCACGATCCTAAAGGTGGGATTTTGGGGTCGTGACTCCCGTGTTGAGAATTCCTTTGGGTTTAGCATTGTTCTATGTTTAGTTGAGAAATAGAGAGTGCACATGTGTCATATACTGTATTACTTTACATTTACGGGGCTAGATAGATGCCCACCATGCCTTTTATGCTAGACAGATGCCTTCGGGGCTATACATTTGCCTATGGGGTTGTACAGTTGCCTACAGGGCTATACATATACATATCAAGCCTTATATGTTCGGCATTACTTGTATGATATAAGTCAGAGACCGTTGAGAATGTTTCCATATTATCATTGTCTCCTCCGATTACATTTAGTATATCATGTATATCAATTCAGTTTTAGTTATTCATTTGCCTTACATACTCGGTACATTATTTCGTACTGATGTCCCTTTGGGGAGAGGGGAGCTATATTTCATGCATGCAGGTTTTGACAGTATGTAGGCCTCAGTAGTAGGCGCGCCGGTATATAGTTTAATTGGTAAGCTGCACATCATTCAGAGTTACTAGGTCTAGAGTTTTGTTGTATATTCAAATAGTATGGGTGGGCGGGGGCACTGTCCCGACCATACTACAATTGTATTCTGTAGAGGCTTGTGACTTGTCTTATATGTACAAATGTCAGTCTGGTGGCCTGTCGGTCCTTGTATGTATTCTCTTTTGATATATATATATATATATATATATATATATATATATATATATATATATTTGGTTGCTTCCCGTTCAATTGAGATTAGTGCCTAGTACTAACCTTTTAATATATTTCTTGCTGGAAGTACCCCCGATCCCATTAGTAATGAGTGGGCCCAAATAATTCAATCGGGGTAGTTGCCGAACCATACCACATAGTTCCGACAACAACAAAAGCTGCAAAAAAGACAACATTTGTACTACTGGAAAGGACGGTTTCAATATTTTCCATACGCAATCCTTTGTATAGACGTTGTGGTAGACAGACACTAAGATGGAATGTTTATGTTACAATATGATAAGAGGTTATTCCTCCTGGATGTTCATTCATCAAATTTTGATAAGTTATCGCCTTGCTGGCCTAAGATATTACAGAACGATATTCAGTTGTCCATGTCGGCCTAAGCAGTCATATAGGTTCAGATAACGTAAGTTTCAGTTGTTACGCTCGGTCAAGTAAGGCACCGGGTGGGGATCTCTCCTCTCCGAATTTGGGGCATGACTTATAGTTATGGCTTGATGCAGCTTGTTGGGATTGATACAATGTATATATACAAGAATCAGATCATAGAGGGAGTTCCGAAAGTTAGAATTTGGTTCCAAAGATTGTAATATAAGGTTGAAGGAAGAATCTTTAGTCAAGATTGTGTTAATGGGCTTATACGGATTGAAGTGATGTGAGATCACCCATGGGTATGTGTATGATAAGTTTATACAGTGAGTTGATAGCTTTGAAATGACTCTTGGCACGTTCGAGGACAAACGTATGTTTCAGTGAGGGAGAATGTAATAACCCGAACAATCACTTTGAGCTTTAGAATTTTGTTTGGTAGTTTGAGACTTTGAGTAGCTTCATATGATACATTATTACTTATGTGTATGGTTGGTTTTGATGTTCAAGAGGTTTGGGATTGATTTGGAAGAGTAATTCTCATTATGAAAGCTTAAAGTTGGAAGAGTTGACCAAGTTTTAACTTTTGAGACGACCTCGGAATCGAGATTTGATGGGTTCTATGAGTTCGTGTGTTGATTTTGGACTTGTACGTATGTTCGTATTTGCTTTTGTATGTTCCTAGTGGATTTTGACTCTATTTGTCGAAAGTTGGCAATTTAACGAATTAGATACTTTATAGGTTTGACTGGAGGTTTATTTTGATATAACCAAATTCCATTTGGTGTTTTGGAACATGGGATTAGTTCAATTAGTTGATTGGAACTTATGTGCAAAGTTTTGTTATGATCCAAAATGTCTGATTGTAACTCGGACGCATTCAACGAAGTTGGAATATTTGAAAGTCGAGATAATGATATTATCTTCAATTCGTGATTTTGATGTTATTTGTGGTGTTTCTAGTCTTTGCAGAAGTTTGAATCAGGTAATTGTACTGGTCGGTATGATTGGACGGGGTCCGCAGGGGTTCGGGTGAGTTTTGGACCATTTCTAGACCCTTTTCAGGTGCTGCTTTTTTGCTACAAGAGCATACATAGCGATCGCGGAGCTCTGGTCTTGTAAATCGGATTCGCGGAGAGACTATTCACAATCACATAGAAGAAATTTCTACTGTCACTAGGCTATTTTCGGGAGCTTTTATCATTCAATCTATAAGGAATTTGGAGATAATTCAAAAATAAAAGTTATAGCCCTTTATGTCTAGTTTTTAGGACACAAAACGTTTTTCATTCAGATTGTTTTACAAAATATTATGGCTGTTAACAAGAGGTTGTCTAGGAAGAGTTGAACAATTTTGGTCTAGTTTGTTCATCGCTATCGCGTAGCTTCTTGGACCCAATTGTGAATGATAAAATCATGCTGGAAATTTTGTGAACCGCGATAGCGGGGTTGGTGATCGCGATCGTGAAGAAGGAGGCCTGGCAGGGGTATTTCATACCTAGTTTCAAGATTTGGAGTTATTTTCAAAAATTTTGAGGCTTGGAGAGCGGATCAAGGCAATTTTAGAGATGGATTTCACCAATATTCTTAGGGTAATTAATATCTACTTAATTTTGGTCATATATCATGAATCTCCATGGATTTCTACACTTAAAATATGAATTTTCAGAGTGAATTTTGAGGTTTTACACTATAATTTAAGAGAGTGTATTTTGAGAATTTAACCACGGATTTGGAATTGAATTTAAAAACTAATTATATATTTGGACTCGGAAGGATATGGTCATCGATATTTGGTATCAGGGTTGAATTTTGGGCACACGGGCCCAAGTTGACTTTTGTTCATGTTTTGAAAATTCATAAAAAGATCAAAGCTTTATTGATTGGCATTGCTTCCTATAGCATTATTTTACTTTGTTGGATAATGTTTGGCTTGTATTTGCATGATTTGAGGGTTAGAACGTGGTTTTGATGCGATTTGAGGTTGAAGACTAACCTGGATGAGGTAAGTATCTTGCTTAGCTTTGGTTTGAGGGATTTTTTCCTAATAAATAATATTGGTTGCTACATGCGGAGGTGATGTATATGCGAGGTGACAAGCGTATATTCATGAACCATGTTTATCTATGCTCAAGGTAGTCTTTAGGTTGTATCATGCTTTGTTTTGGATATGTGCTTCCTGCTATCATGTTTTATATGTTTGTATGACTACATGTACTCTTTGAATGTAGGTTTTGAATTCCTATTTGAACATGATAATCATTGTTTTATGGCGTAACCGCCTAGTCTGAGTTGTAGTGGTACATGTCGCACTAGCATACACCTTAGCATGCTATTTTTCTCAATCCACGAGCATGTGGTTTGATATCCGTTATTCGTATATATGTGTTATTGTTATGCTTTCTGTGAGAAGTACTTGATTGACATCACGTGAGTGGCATGTGCGGGTTGAGTTATTATGGCACGTGAGATGTATGTGTGGTTGTTAGGATTATAACACGTGAGCTGTCTGTGTGGTTGTTAGGATTATAACACGTGAGCTGTCTGTGCGGTTGTTATAATTATGGCACGTGAGTTGTTCGTGCAGCGTGTGGATTAAGATCCACCACCCTAGGGTCATCCTCCCATGTTTCTCTCTTAATGACATTGACACGGATTATGGAAAAACTGATTAGTGGTTGGACTTTGCGCATCTTCTCTGTATGCAAACTCCTTGGATGTATACATGATATTTACCACATATCTTCTCTATATGCTAGCTCCGGATTATATGCATAACTTTTTTGCATATCTTCTCTATATGTTGCTTTATATGTTAATCCATTTAACTTCACTTGTTTATTCATGCATGTCTTCTCTATATGCAACTGCTGGCGGGTTATTTGATATTTCATGCATATCTTCTCTATATGCAATTATTGACGAGTTATTTGATATTTTATGCATATCTTCTCTATATGAAACAGTTGATGGGTTATTTAATATCCAATACATATTTTCTTTATATGCTGAACTTCTAGTTTATTTACAATGCTTGTATGGATCTTCTCTATATGCACTGACTATCTTACTTGTACTTCATGCTTAGATTTCGGTACTACTGTTGTGTGCATATATATATATTTATGAATTGTTCAAGTTTCATAAAGTAAGTATCTTTTGAGTTAAATTACCGTCACTACTTCACTAAGGTAGTCAAGATGCTTACTAAGTATATGGTATTGGTTGTACTCATACTACACTTCTGCACTTTGCGTGTAAATTTTGGAGCTGAGCTGTTGCGGATGACGAATGCTAGCATTAAAGAGGTACCAGCGTTTCAGATACAAGCTACCACTTATTCATGGTAGTTTAGAACTTATATTTCTGTTTCTGAAAATTTCAAACAGATGATGTAATCTTTCTTCATAGTAGAGTTGTAATTGTATTCTTATTCTTAGTCGTTCATGGCTTGGACTACCAGTCCTTGGGATAGTTGTATTAGTTTCCTCCATCATATTTATTGTTTCTTGATGATCTCTCGTTTGAGTTGAGTTATTTATTGTTTGGCTTACTTAATATGTTGGGGTTAGGTGTCATTACGACTATATGGATTTTTGGATCGTGACAGTGTGGCACCTGCTGATGCATGAACTTCAGCGGTAGTCTTCAATGCCTCGTGCCCTATAGCACTCACCATAGCAAATGGCAAATTTATTTAGGTGCTATACTCAGAGCCTTGCACCCGATACTGTGCCTGAAATATGTCCCCTGTATTGGCCGTGTCGCACCTAACAACACAACAAAGTCGAGCCTGGTACTGTCTGTGTCGCACTCTCACCGCTCCGACGTAAGTTATTTTTATTATTTGGATCAACTCGACCCAACCCCTTTTTTTTAACACAATGAACACCATTTTAAAACACACTCCCTCTTCCCTTTAGCCACTGCTACACCTTACCATGAGATAAGGTAATTTTTCTATCTCTTCTCTATTTGGGGTAGTATCTTCTTTCCTTATTTCATTCCTAATTTAGTTCTAGCTTAGTTCTTTTTTTTTATTCTCATAGTTATGCTTAACAATAGAGGAAAATAGTGAAAAATGTATCCTAACCCTTTCTCCACATACTTGTTCTATTGCTTGCTGATATAAGTACTAGGAACACAACTCCCAAGCCGATTTGGAAGGGCGAGGTAGTCCCTCACATTCAACCATACTCAAACACAATTTGTGCGTGCTAAATGTTCGATGAATTATCTCAAAGGTGATTAAAGTCTCAATTAGATTCTGAGTCTCTGGGATTGAATCAATTCAGTGTGATGATGACTATAATCATGAGAATTAAGTGTGGGGAGGATCAACAGAGCCGAGGTAGTTTTGAAAGCGTTAAGGCCAATGTCGCTCGTGGCATGTGCTAAACTAGTAAGCTGTCGAGCTGCTTAGTTTATGGCTATATTTATGAATCAGTTTTGATATATTATGAATTGTAAGGTATTGTTTGCTGCCCATATTAAAATGTTGTAGTAAGTTACTGGAGTCATTCATGATCTATGCTAATATCATTCATGTGGATCATCTGTTATTGCTTTGCCCATGTTGTGCATACTTGAAAATTAATCTTGTCTATGCTAATTAGTTAGGTTGAGTACTTCTATCACTCATGTTGAATATGCAGCCATTCTCTGATGTTGCGTGGATGATTATACGCTGAAATATTTAAATATGGCACGTTTTATATTAGAAAGGTCAATTTGAGTTAAGTAGGGTTTGAATGAGTACCTTAAAATTGTCAAAGTGCTCTGATGCTTGAGTTTTAAGTATGGGGTCGTTTCAACCCACTTATGCTTTACATATTATATCCTATGACTAATGGATTGTGTTTGTTTGTAGGTTCTTAGAAAAATGGTTTTTCCTAACCAAGGTGGTGCTAAGGCTAAAGTTAAGGCTCCAGCCAAGACCTTTACTTCAGGACTGTCAGCAAAAAAGTGAATCTCACACTGAGGCTCTGTCTAGCTTCCAAGGTAAGGGCAAGCAAAAGGCCTCTACTTCAACCCCAGTTGAGCCACATGATAAGAAGAAGATATCTTTAGGTTCAAATCTGTGAAAGCTTATGGCAAGGCTTGGTGCAAGAAGTTTAAGCCTCCTACATACACATGATGCAACTATCAATGAACACACCTTCAAAGTGAGTTTATGTTCGCATATGAGAAGCTGTATAAAATAAGACTGGGGATTAGTGTTCAAGAATCCATGCGAGGGAAATGTTAGCTTGATACGTGAGTTCTACGCAAATTGGGATGTTTATGACGAGGAGAACTGGTGCCCACATGAGGGACACTTATTGACATATCACCGATTGCTTTGTGAAAATTCTTGGATGCCTCTAATGTTCCTACTAGATCGCTATCTGAGTTCATAAAGCATCCTGACTATCAGGCTATTAGACACACTTTATGTGATGTCAATTTTGATGCTTTGTGAATTCATGACAAGAAGAGGGCACATAGTTGTTTCCATATGGGAAAGTTCTGAGGCCCGCTTAGATTTTGTTGAAGTTGGTACGAACGAGGATTCTGCCAGGTGACCACTACACTAATATATTGAGAGAGCGAGTGTGTTTAGTCTACTTCTTGATGATTGCGAAGCCATCAACGTAGGATTCTCAGTGTGATTGGAGATTAAGTAGACTAGGACTGGAAAGGTTTTCAAAATATTCTTTGGCAATGTGCTTACGGATCATTTGCGCTCGGAGGGAGTAGAGGAGGATCCGAATTGTGATATTATTTTTGTCATTGTGGTAAGGCGTACTATATTATTAGGGTCAAAGGGACATAAAAGGATGGGCGTGAGCACTTCGACTGCAGCTGAGCGCTATTTCGAGATGATTGTTTGTTTGACAACTTCTATCGGATGTTAGATCTTGAGCTCTAACTTAGTGGTAGAGCAGCTGTTGAGGATGAAATGAGTCAGCTACTTGAGTGACGCCCGTTCAATGTCCATGATATATAGCTGGTTGGTCTTGTGTCAGGTATTGTATTCCTGCCAGAGGAAGACGAGAACACTCTAGAGCCATCTGTCCACGAGGACAAAGCTGAGAATAAGAAGGCTACTGTTGATGATGAGGGGACCGATGGAGATGAGCCTAACCCCTATGGTGTCTACCCTGAGGATAAGGAGCAGGATGCTGCGGTCTACGAGATTGATTCAACGGGACAGGAGTTCCCTTTACCACCCTTATGTATTTGATTTTGATTTTGTTATGCATTGGGGACAATGCACAATTAAGTGTGGCGTGGGGGAAACCTTTTCTATTTTTTATCTTTATAGTAGTAATATTCGAATTAGTTGTATTTTTTTGTTTAGTCACTTGACTTTATTTTTAATTTGTTTCTTGCTTTCCTTAGTTTTGTTTGTAATACTCGCACTATTAATGACCCATAATGGTTAGTAAGTTCTTTATTATATTAGTAGTTTTCACTTTCCTGATATTGAAAAATACCAACAAAAAAAAAAAAATTAAAAATTGAAGAAAACTACAAAAATATTTTATGCTTTCTTAGGTAGTTTTAGATTAATTTAGCAGGTGTGCATCAGTTCTTTTTAAGAGATGTAACTTGAACCGAATAATTTTCTAAGAATAGTTTAGGACGTAGTTAATAAAAAAAAAAGACTGATATGATTTCTAGGGGCCTTTTGATTTGTTTGGTACCATCGTTGTTAGGCTAGGCATATAGATAACCTTTCCCATGAATTTTGAGGTCATGTGTGCTTTGAAAATTAAATAGCATGCTTTATGACAGCTACTCTCAGTTTCTTGAATAGTTGTATCATCTTAGTGATATGTGTTTGATATTTTATTGTCTTTGTGGATACTTGCTGTGACTTGAGAATTGAGATGGTCGTCCAGAGTGAATCATGTGCTATGAAGTGATATTTAGTATTGCATTTTGTGGCATCTCATATTAGTCTAGAACTTGCCTTTTATGTGGGTCAAAGCAAAATGAGTGAGTCTTGTTGAGTATGATTTAGGCATTTCTTTGATTAGGACTTAGCCTTTTTCCCTCCATTGTTGATGTTATTCATAGTCAACCATTTTGAGCCTATAAACCTTTTCTTTGGCACCCATATTACAAGTCAATTTTTTTTTGTTCTTAATGAACTCTTTAATAAACTTTACCTTCGAAAGCACGTAAGTCGCATAAATGAGCGCCAGAAAAAGTAAGATAAATATTGGGTATCTTTTGGTGAAACCACTGAAAGGAAGAAAGATACATTTGTGTAAGAAAAGAACTACTAGCGGGAATGCAAAGATAGGGAGCTCTATTATTTTTTTTAAATAAATACATCTCTCATACAAATTGATCCATGCTAGCAAGTTGTCAAAATATGAAGTGCTTAAAGAGAAAGAGCCTAATTATGTGATGGTCTCTTGGCAAGGCAATACAGTTGGTTACGATGAATGTGCGCTCGAGAGTGAATGGTATTGTATCAACAAGTGCTTAGGAATGTTAGTCACTACTATCCCAAATATATTCTGCATATCCCTTAACCTACATTGCATCCCTTGAAGTCCTATTTTATTCTACATTAGATAGTGTCACGATCACAAAATCGATCCGATCGTGACGGCGCCTATCGTGAAACTAGGCCAGCCGACACATTTCCAAAATAATCCATATTTCATATAAAACTTAAGTTAAACCATTTTTTAACTGAAATCCAATAAAAGGTACATAGTCAAACCAAAACAAAAGCGGAAAGTAAAAGCCCGACCTCGGGTGTCACTAAGTCAAGAGCAATACTACAATAGTTCCGAAACAAGCTAAGACCAAAATAGTCTGGAAATAGCAACAATGTACTAATAGGAAGATAGAGAAGGAGAAAGGCAAAACTGCGATCGCCAGACATCTACCTCGCTATCTCCGTGAAGTCTGCGACCGGAATAGTCAACAGCCGCTACTGTGCCCTGAGATACCTGAATCTGCACACAAGGTGCAGGGAGTAACGTGAGTACACCAACTCAGTAAGTAACAAGTCCAAACTATGGACTGACAGGTAGTGATGAACCAAACCTCAACAGGTAATACAATTAAACTGTACAGAAAATTAGGCATGCTTGCAGTTCGAGTATTAGACTCAACAGGAAATAAATACAAGTGTGGAGTATAAAGCTCCACAAATCTCTATATACCAATGTACAGAAAGCATGAAAAAATGTACCATGTACATCCACTCTCAAGTGCTCAACCACTCGGTACTGTATATGGCCATTCGGCCCAAGGAAGATCCATTCCGAAATATATACACATTACAAACCGCCGTCATCCAGTACCGAGGAAGGCCATTCCAACCCTATGGAGAAGATCCATCTCCAGGTATAAATACTTCGGACAAGATCCATATCCAGGGAAGATCCATCCCTCAATAACATCAACTATGCTCACTGGGGGTGTATAGACTCCGGAGGGGCTCCTTTCAGCCCAAGCGCTATCACAAGCCAACGAAGCCATAATCAATAATCCGCTGCGGCATGCAGCCCGATCCCATACCGTCACTCATAATTAGGCTCTCGGCCTCACTCAGTCATAACTCTCCAGTCTCACACACATGGGCTCACAATACCAAGAAACTAGCCTGGAACAACGATATGATGTACCAAATAACAATAACTGAGACTGAGACATGATATAATATGCATGGACAAGACTGAGTACAGAATATCAATGGAGCTAATGATATAACAGCAAGAAACGACCTCTCGGGTCTCAACAGTTATCGGCGTGAAGCCTTAACATGATAATTAGCATGATTTATAGCTTATTAACTTAATTACATAATCATTACACATGTATCAGCAAGAAAGAGTCACTAAGCGGTGCCATGGAATGATCCAGGCCGCAATTCTCACGGTGCACGCCCACACGCCCGTCATTTGACATTTCGTCACCTCAATATTAATCATAGTGCACATAGTTTGGGGTTTCGAACCCTCAAAACCAAGTATGGAAGCGTTACTTACCTCAACCAAGCAAAAACAATAACCCGCGATGCCCTTGCCTCTCGATCCGGCCTCCAAATTCTCCGAATCTAACCAAAATCAGTATATTATCATCAACATACACTAAAGAAATGAAACCCATACGAAAATTATCAAATTAGATAAAAAATCCCAAATTTGCTCAAACCCGGACCCCGGCCCCACGTCTCGAAATCCAACAAAAGTCATGAAACTAGAAACTCCTTTCACTCCCAAGTCCATACATACCAAAATCATCAAAATCGAACCTCAAATGGTCCCTCAAGTCCCCAATTTAAACTCTCCAATTTCAAGCCCTAATCTCCCAACTTTCTTCTCTAATTTCCACTAATATCATGATTAACAATGGAAAAATGGTCATAAACAGAAGATATAAGGTCCAAGTAGCTTACCCAACTGATAACCCTTGATCCCTCTTGAGAAATCAATGCCCAAGCTCCACACCCGTCTTCAAAAATGGAGAAATTAAGCAAAATTCGCGAAGAAGACCTTTTTATACCTTCTATCCAGTTTATTCCGCATCTGCGGTCTCAAACACTTAACCTTGGAAATCCCGCTTCTGCGGTCAGCTTCTCGCTCCTACACTCTCGCATGTAAGGTCCTTGTGCGCGCCTGCGGTTCTCCTCAGCTCCCCAATTCTTCGCATATGTGATCCAATCTCGCTTCTGCGAGGCTCGCACCTGCAATCCCCAATCCGCAGGTGCGGAAATGACAGAAGCAGCAAAGTTCAGCTGCTCAAACCAAATCCCAATCCTTCCATTAACCATCCGGATTCATCCTGAGGCCCTCGAGGCCTCAACCAAAAATACCAACAAGTCATAAACCACTATTCAAACTTATTCAAACCGTCGGAACACCCCAAACAATACCAAAATACCAAATCAACCTCGGATTTAAGCCTAAGAACTTAGAAACTTTCAAATTCCACAAATAACACCGAAACCTATCAAATCACCTCCGAATGACGTGAAACTTTGCACCACACGTCACAAATGACACTACGAACCTGCTCCAATTTCCGGATTCTATTCCGACCACGATATCAAGATTTCCATTGCCGACCTGAAAATGCCAAATTTCCCATTTTGCCAATTCAAGCCTAAATCTACCACGAACCTCCAAAATACATTCCGAACATGCGCCTAAGTTCAAAATCACCTAACGAAGCTATCCGAATCATCAGAATTCACATCCGTAACCTTCCACTCATAAGTCAATATCCGATTGACTTTTCCAACTTAAGCTTCTAAATTAGAGACTAAGTGTCTCATTCCACTCCAAGACCGCTCCGAACCCTAACCAACCAACACGACACGATGAAATACAGCTAAACAATACATAAAGAAGCCAAAATGGGGGAAATGGGACTGTAACTGATGAAACGACCAGCCATGTCGTTACATCCTCCCCTATTAAACAAATGTTCGTCCTCGAACGAGTCTCGAAACATACCTGAAGCCTTAAACAGGTGTGGATATCTGCTCTGCATCTCCCACTCGGTTTTCTAAGTAGCCTCCTCCATGGGCCGACCTCTCCACTGTACTTTCACTGAAGCTATATCCTTTGATCTCAACTTTCGGACCTGCCTCTCCAAAATAGCCACTGGCTCCACATCATAGGTCAAATCATTGTCTAACTGAACCGTGCTAAAATGCAAAATATGAGACGGATTGCCAATATACTTTCAGAGCATAGAAACATGAAATACCGGATGCACACTCGACAAGCTGGGTGGCAAAGCAAGCTCATAAGGCACCACTCCAATCCTCCGAAGCACCTCAAAAGGCCCAATGAACCAGGGAATCAATTTACCATTCTTCCCAAATCTCATAACACCCTTCATGGGTGAAACCTTCAGTAGAACCTTCTCTCTAACCATGTAATACACATCACGAACCTTCCTATCAGCATAACTCTTTTGTCTTGACTGCGCCGTATGAAGCCGCTCCTGAATCACCTTTACCTTGTCCAAAGCATCCTATACCAAATCTGTACCCAGAATCCTAGCCTCTCCCGGCTCAAATCAACCTACTGGAGATCTACACCGTCTCCCATACAAAGCCTTATATGGAGGCATCTGAATACTCGGTTGATAATAGTTGTTATATGCAACCTCTGCTAGTGAGAGAAACTGATCCCATAACCCTCCAAAATCAATGACACAAGCGCGCAACATGTACTTCAATATCTAAATAGTGAACTCGACTGCCCATCCGCATGAGGGTGAAAAGATGTGCTCAACTCGACTTGAGTACCCAACTCTCGCTGCACGGCTCTCCAAAACTGCAAAGTGAACTGAGTACCTCT